TTTTTTTTTTTTTTTTTTTTTTTTTTTTTTTTTTTTTTTTTTTTTTTCTTTTTCTAGTTCCTTTAGCAGAAAAGTAGTATTTGGTTTTCCCTACATCATGGCCTTTCTAGCCTTAGATCCTTGAACAACCAAGCAGCACTGGGTATGGGTTCCATATCATGGAGTGACCTTAAATCCAATCAGCAGAAAGTTGTTGGTTACTCTCATAGCTTTTGTGCCACTTTTGCACCAGCCTATCACGGAGGAAGTTCATCATTGTACATAGCAGGGCTTATAGCTGGGTTGGTATTTACCTTTCTCCTATGGTAATGTGCAGAGCGCTTTCCAGGACTATGAACACTTGTCAGTAGTGATAAAGGCTCCAAGTATGGACTAACTGGACTTCTTCATGGTTAATGAGTTATGTAGGTGTTGTCTTCAGCAATTGGGCATTACTGTCAGTTTATGGAAAGCAACCAATAGACATGACTGGAGTTGTCTGGGTTTCCCATGCGGTACCTTTGGATAACAACTCAGTTAGATGTATCCCATTCCAGGAGCTGAAGGTTTCACTTGGTGGCAAGTGATGTCGATGTTGGGGCTTGGCCTCCATCATTATTTGGTGATACCATTCGTTTTTCTTTCATATATGTGTATGTATTTTAAGAAATGTCTACAGTAACAGCTTCCCATGTCTCTCAAATGTTCCTTAATTTTTCCTGTATCTTTATGTATTCCCTGCTCTACTTCCCCTCTTCCCTGCCTTCTCTATTTAATCCTCTCATTCTAGCCCTTCCATCCATCCAGAACTATCTATTCTAATTCTTCTTTCTGGGGTGTTCCTTCCCTCCCCACTGATAACTTACTCCATACCTAACCTCTGTGGTTATAAGGATTACGGGCTTATTGAAAGCTTAACAGCTAACATCCACATAATAAGATAGAAACTGATTGAAAAGGCTGGCAATTCATAATAAATAAGAATTACTTGAAATAACATGAAAAACTGAAGGAAGACAAGAAATTTGAGAACATGAGCCTGTTAAGCTAAGTGACCAAGCACAGGAGGCTCATGATGGGAACAACTGTGACAGCCAAACTCTCTCCACCCATGCCACAAGTCCTCTGCTGATGGCCTTGGTTTCGCTTATGAGATGGATTGCCTTCCATCTTTCAATTCTGTACCTCCATGGCGTTCTTAGGTAGTTGAACCATGAAAGAAGAATGAATCTATGTGGCAACAAGAGAATGTCTCTGAAAGATTCCTAGGGGCAGACATGTAAAAAATGATTCTAAATTATTATGACTGAGGAGGTTGTACTTACATAGAATTCATCCCAGAGGATAGTGTTATGTATAAATAAGTTGCTTTGGGGTTTTCTTTACTTTAGTTTTTCTCTGTGTGATCTTTTAAATTTTACTATCTTTCCTCAGTTTCCTTTAGTCAGCTCCATCCTAAGGATGCTTTATTATTTATCCAGAAGACATACTGGATTATGAGGATAAATTAATATAAGAATAGTCTTCCTTTGTAAATTACATATACTCGAAATATGAAATAAATTCAGTAACATCAAGAAGAATTTCTTAGAGATTAAAGACTTTGGACTTGTAACACTAACACTGTTTATCTGAGTTAACATTTGAATTCAAATGTAAAATAGCCTCCTCTCCTAAAATTTGTCTTTAAACATCAGTTAGAAAACTCAATAACTAGAGTGGCTTTTAAGGTTGTGACTCATAATACTTCATTTTAATTATGCAGGAAATACCACACTCATTTATTACAATTTGATGGCGAAGGAGGTTGGCGCTTTGAACAGCTGGACACTGCTATTCGTTTAACACTGAGTGAAGAAAAACAAAAGTTAGAGTCTCAGCTTGCCGGAATTCCCAAAATGCAGCAGAGGCTCAATGAACTATGTAAAATTCTGGGAGAAGACTCGGTGCTGAAAACAATCCAAAATGAAGATGAGATGTCCTAATTTATCTTGACTTATTTTAAGTTAACTTCTAGGTGAAGCCAGAGAATCTCTCTTTACTGCATGCAGTATGTTAAGCTAAGTGCAGAGAAGGCAAGCCAGCAAAAGAGTATTTTGTATGACTTTAGCATCAAGGAAAATACATGGCAACTTTTTGAACGAAAGAAAACCAAACACCTTAGTCAACATTAGTAGTGATTAATGTCCAGTGAAAGGCTAACTCACCTGTAAGACAGGACTTTCTAGGACTAGGGGAATGTGTGTGGTCTGAGGTTCATCCTGTGGGAGAAAGCCCAGAAGCAAAACAATAAGGACAGCGCCTGGGTTGATGTCAGGTGTGCAGAATTAGGGTGCTGATTGTTACTTCAGCCGCATTCGACGAACTGTAGGGCAACATGCGAGTGAAAGCCATAATCAGCCTTTCTAGGGGCCAACTAAAACTGGGTACAGAAGAACAGTTTGATGAATAATTTCAATACGAAAAAATGTATTTTAATGACAGTGGTTGAAAACAAGCCTGGCTAGACAAGTATAAAGTACTGTATTAAAAAAAAAATTAGACTTTGAATATCTTAATACAGACACAAAAAATTAACATTAGTAAGAATTGTATGTGTTTGTTTAAGGAAAAAAAAACTTTTATTTTTTAAAAAGAGATTTGCCCATATGGAAGAGGATCCGAGCAAAGCATGTCCTGGCTGCTGCTTGATTCTGTAGATAGCTACCACAATTTCTATCCAGAAATATTGCTTGTTTGGTGCCCCAAAAAAGCATTTAAAAAACTTGATTGCTATCCTAAATATGGATGCTAGAAATCACGGTTTTGTTCCCACATTCATTTCATTTTACTCTGTCTTTGAAGCAATCTTTTGAGTCAGATCATTTTTGCTCATTTCCTTCTGAGAAAATAGACCCTCAGATTTACTTTTAATTTTCTGATTTATTTTGGAAGAGAAGTAGAGATCAAAGGAAGTTCTCATGACTCTCTGAATCAGTGCTGTTATCACTATTGCCCCTTAAATTTAACTGGGATATAGTGTCAATAAAAATAAAAAATAAAAAAGGGAGATGTGCCAGGAAGGTGGCCCGAAATGAAATTGTATGCAGAGTAGAGAATGACACTTGCTTCTTGTAGGAGACCTGGGTTTTATTGCCAGCACCTACATGGTAGCTTATAACCGTGTCTAGCTCCAGTTTCAGAGGATCCGACACCCTCCTCTGGCTTCCAAGGGCTCTGCATGAGTGCACTGCTCATATATGCAGACAAAACACCCAAACAACATAGCGTTAAAAATAAATACATCTGAGAGACGGTAAAGATATTGAAAGTTGGCAATGTTCATGTCATTATTATTTAATTAGTATTTGCAAAATTGGGTAGGAAGTGGAACGGTCATTGGTCTTTGACTTAAAATGAACCTAGAAAGTCGGCACACTGAAGCCATGTTTACACAGCCACCTAAGTGTCTGCAGCTTCAGCGCTAAGAAAGGCAGTACATTGTACTTCTGGTAAGCTTCACATTGCTGAATAAGACGAGAAGCCATCTATGTGAACACACCCTGTGGAATGCGTCTCGTGCGTGTGTGTGCACTGGAGAATGAAAGCTGTAATTGGCGCCCTCACCTTGTCCTCTCTCAGGCAGGATGATATATATGAAAAGCTGAGATGAACCGTTTCAGGGGTTTAGGATTTTGTTTACGTGTTTAGGCAGCATTCTAGCAGATGCTAACTTGCAGTAGACTATTTAGGAGATAGGCTACCTGGAAGTCATTCACAAAGATTGCTGTAAGAAATTACAGCATTTCCACATTTTCGAGTCCACAAAATTTAGGTAATTTGAATTACCAGTGAATGTAAGGTGATTACCTCACATGAAACAATGTGATAGAAGATCATAATTAATACTTTTTTATCTGTCCGCTCCTACTACTTCTTACTGAAAATGTGGGGCAAGAATTAAAGACTTTGTTTAGAAAAAGTATGGAACCAGAAACTGGCACTTGATATTTTTTAAGAAACAATTCACTAATCTTTGACAACCGTGTGAGCAGTTAGCCAGGTTATAGTGCTAAGAGGGGAAACATTTGGAATAAGTGTTTTCCATCGGCTTTGAAAGGCACAAGAGGAAAATGTAAAGTTCACGCTTGAAGCTATAGTTTTCATAATTTAAAATAAAACCATCTAAGACTGGATGGCTTACATTTTTAAGCTTCGCAAGGAATGCCAACACTGATACTAGATTTGTAATTGGACCTTATTTAATAAATGTTACCAATGAGCTGAAGGGAAACAGAAGACTCATGACATAGTGGACAGGGTTCTGCGATGTTCAAATTTCTATTCTAAGACTCTGGTCTCAAAATTTAAACATTAAAGTTTCAGGACAAACCTTTTTTTTTTTTTTTTTTTTTTGAGGTGGGGTGTAACTACGTATTTCCTAAATTGCTTTTTCTGAGACCAAATATCCTCTGTCCTGGAGGGAGAATCCGATGTGAAGTTGTGTTAGATGCCACTGTCCGAAGAGGCAGGTGCATTTGTGAAAACTTGAGCTCTACTGAGACCTCTCCTTCTTTGGCTACAACAGAGAATAATAAGGAAAATGAAGTATAGCCTCAGTTGTCAAACTACTTTTCTTTCCCTCAGAAATGATGTAAATTTATGGAGCTTGATTATCTGGGGGTTAACTTATAAGCTGCGTTCCATATAAATGTGACATTCTGTCTCTGCAGCACGCTGTGGTATGCCGAGCATGAGTCTGAAGCTGTGTTCACCCTTATAGGTGGGATAATCTTGAAAACTCTCTTAAATCACAATGAAGTTGAAGATATAACTTGAAAACAAACCCAACACAAACTCTGTGTTTACCCAGGAACAGTTTTCTTTTGATGGTAATTTGACTTTTGTCCCAAATTTTTCGTGTATCAATAAAGGAATAAACACATGTGTTGGTTTTTATTTGAAGCATTTATCCCAAGAAAAAGTGTATGTTTGTGAAAGGAGTAGCTTATCTCCATGTTTGGAATATTTTTTCTTTTCTTTTTTTTTCTTTCTTTCTTTTTTTTTTTTTTTTTTTTGACTATGTAGTCTAAAAGCTTGTTATAGTTTAGGACTGGAGCCCAGGGGAACTTCGGTGCTTTAAGATGTATTAAATGTGGTGACAAATATTAAATTATTTATTTAAAGAGATGCTTCTGAGATAAATACTTCGTGAGCAAAATGCCCACACATCCGGCACCTCACAGTGTTTCTGTCCCACAGGTAAAGGTTGAGAGTTTGCATGTAAACTTTGAATATTGCCACATGAAAGTTCTCTGATTAAAAATTAAAAACACATATCTTTTCTTGTATCTTCTGGTGACGTTTCTGATTACCTGATACGAAGGGGGGAATGTCTCACCATTTTAATGCAAAACCTTCAGAAGCAATTGTCCCCCTAGCAGCCTCAGCTGCATTGAATAACATGAACAAGAAAAGCGTCTTAGTGGTAAATGCAGTGTAGTGACATTTTGGGGATTCTTGAATTTTGGTTTCTTCAAAAACAAACAAACGAACAAGAAACACAGAAATGTTCTAAGGATGTGCTTTTGTGTTAATCCCAGGTGTAGGGATGTGTGGCCGCTTCGGACTGTCTTCGGCAGCTTGACCATGGTTATTTGCCGTAGCAGAAGCAAGGGTTTGCAGCTGCAGATAATTTCTGCAATTGTGGGCTCATAGCCAGGCTTTTGCACTTGTCATTGTGGTGCAAATGACGATACAGAGGCTTTTTAATATTTAAAGCTTAGGCTATTTAAATCTTTACCTGGGAAGATTCAGAGCCAGGTTTTAGCCCGACCTGACCAATCTTGCACTCTGGCCCACCACATGGCCAACTCTCTGCTCCTGCTCACATCAGTCTGTTCACCTGTGTACCCAGCTGGCCAATCTCCAGCCGAAGTTAAACTCTAACATCAGTGAAAGAGCCCAGAGAGGTTGAGGAGTTCATGCCACTCAATGCGACACTGGAGCTGCTTTAGTAATGCTTGAAGCTAGCGGTACTCAGTGGGCAAGTCTGTGCAGCAATGCATCTCTGCTCAGTCGTTCTAGGGCATTGTCCATCATCGCTGGCTTTCGGGAATTTATGTAACATTATAATTTTAATATTTCTATTATACATTAAGAATGTGCTTCTGTGGAAGGCAGATGACATGAAACAACTTTTTAAATGTTCTAAGGAATAAATCTCCCAACCAGTTAGAACTTCTTCATAAGATGTATTAACCGGAGAGATGGTTCAGCTGTTGAGAGCACTGGCTGCTCTTCCAGAAGACCCAGTTCAATTCCTAACACTCCTGCAGTAACTCACAATGGCCTGTAACTGTAGTTCTAGGGATCCAATGTCCTCTTTCCTTACCTCCAAGGGCACCAGGAACACAAGTGTGAACAGACCAACATGAAGGCAAAATACCCATACACATAAAAAAAATAAAATAAAATAAATAAGCTTATTGATACTTGCAAGGTACCAGCTACTATGCTAGCAATTCAGAGAAAAACAAGACAGACTGCCCCAACATCAGGTCTGAAACACTTTGGTCGATGAATTAAACAGTTGTAAACCTGTGAGATGCTGTAGTTGCATGTAAGTAAAATATTTGTGTTGTAATAAACTATATGTTCTTCTTAGACCACTTTGTTATAGCTGGTAAGCAATAATTCTATTCTCAAAGCAAGTGCCCTTCCTTACACAATTATAGGATTCCTTATACGATTCATACTCTTCCTTTCCTCCAATGAGATTAAACTACAAAGCTCCGTAAAAACCAATCTGTGCGGTTGTAACCTACTTTGCCAGTAGGAGCTCTCCTGGACATAGCATGTTGCATCAAAATCGGAGAAACTATTTAAAGTTAAGAATGTCTAAAATGAGCCAGTTCTGTACATTCAAAAGCATGTGTTTCATATCAACACAAAAATATAGATAACTAGAGTGTGAAAACTGTAAAATGCAAATGCAGCAATTACAAGAGCAAATAGCTAGGCATAGTGTCATAGGCTGGGATCCCAGCACTGAGAGGCCCAGGCAAAGCATCACTGCAAATTAGAGGCCTCCCCAGGCCAAACAGTGAGTTTCAGCCAGTGTTTTCTAGTATGAGCCTGTTTCTACAATAACAATGAAAAATTGAAACAAAAGACTTCCAAAGTTAAACACATTTAAAATTACTTGAAAAAAAAATCTCAGTAATTATTTCTCAGTATAATTGATAAGGTGCGAGGATGTGGAGATGGTTTGATTAAGAATGGTCACACAGGCTCATATATTTGAAAACTTGGTCATCAGGGAGTGCCACTGCTCCAGAAGGTTTCGGAGGTATGGCCTTGTCAGGGGAAGTATGTCACCACAGGTGGGCTTTGGGGTTTCAAGAGCCCAAGCCAGTTCCAGGGTCTCTCTCTTCCTGCTGCCTGCAGATCTGGGTGTAGAACTCTCAGCTACCGTGTTTGCCTATGTGCTGTCTTGCTTCCCTCCATGAGGATAATGGACTAAGTCTCTGTAGCCGTAAGCAAGCCCCAATTAAATGTTTTCCATTATAAGGGAATTACCACGGTCATGGTGTCCCTTCACAGCAATAGAACCCTAACTAAGACAAGGTGATTAAGTATTTATCAGTGATTTGATATCTAAAAACAGGTTATATCACAATGAAACAATAAAATACTATTAAATACTAAGTATTTTTTTGTGGTTTTTACTGTTAAAGCATACTTAGCTTAATCCATGTAAAACAGGGGACAATGGTATATGTCAAACACAGTTCATTTTGTAAATGTAAACAATATGCCAGAGCTATCTCAGTTCTCCCAATAGGGAGGGTTAGGAGAAGTCCTATAGGAGACATTGTACTGGGAAGCTGACTCAATGGGATGCTTTTCAGCATACAAATGCTGGTAACTGCAGGATGACAGAAACCGGTGATAGTTTCAAAGTCCCTACATCTAGACTACCTTACATTCTGCATGGAACATGTTTCCAAGATCTACGTGGAACGGGTTCAACCAAGGCTGGCGTAAATTCAATCATCGGCATTTTCCTGGAGCCTATGTACACTGGTGTATGTCCACATATACACACACGAATGTTCTCTTAGAAGTTTCGTACACAGCATTGTAAAATTTGAAGATGTAAGTAACTGAAGAATTCTGTCTTTACTATGGTAAAAAAAAAAAAAACTCGCATTTATCATTAGCTTTTGTGTGCGTGTTTGCATATGGCAGTGTTAAGTAAATTCACATCACTGTAAAACAGATCTGTAAAGCTTTTTTTGTCAGGAAATATCCAAGCCTCTCGATTTATTAAACAACTTCATTTTATCTTTTATCACGACTCCTGTTAACTTCTTCTATTCTAGTAAAGTTATTGTCATGATAAAACACTAATCAAAACCAAGTAGGGGGAAGAAAATGGTGGTTTTTTTGTTTATTTTTTTTCTTTTTTTTTTTCTTTTTGTTTATCTGTTAGTCTATCATTGATAGTATCTAAGGCAGGAACTGAAGCAGAGATCATGGAGGAATGCTGTTTACTTGCTTGCTCCCTCTGCTTTGTTCCGCTATTTTTCTTACACAGCTCAGGTCTACCTGCCCACGCGTGGCATGGAGGTCCAGTACTTCCTACATCAGCCAGCAATCAGGACAACACTCCTTAGACATGCTCACTGGTCAGTCTGATGGAGGGGATTCCTGGGTTGAGCTTTCCTCTTCCCAGGTGACTCTAGTTTGTATCAAATTCATAAAAACTAACCACCATTTTACCTTGTGTTTCTATGACTGTGACTACACTGGATGCCTCATATAAATGGGATATACAGTATTTGTCATTTATCACTTAAATTATTTCACTTAGCATAATGGTCTTTAGAGTCATCCATATTGTAGCATTTTACAGGATCTATCCCTTGTTATGGATGAATGACATGAAAACATATTTTGCTTGTGAGTTGCTTCTTCCTTTTGATTCTTATGCAGAATGGGCACAGTGCCCTCAGCTTCATACCAACATGGTACTACAGAATTTAATGTTCCCACTAGGAATGAACAAGGCTACCGTTTGCCCCACAGCTTTTTCAACACTGGATGATTTTTGCTTTCTTTTAATAGACATTCTAAGACATATAAATGCTTAACTTTTGGGGTATACTATTTTCCACTTGTATATAATCTTTGGAGAAGTATCTTTTCAAATCACTGCTTAAAGAATTTTTTAGAAAATTAGAATATGTTTCGTGGTATTCATGATCCATGATTCTTGGGCTACAACTAATTTCTGCTCTTTCTAGGTAGATTTCTTCCTTATTCCTACTCTATCCTTATGTTCCACATTTCCTTTGTTGGGCATGCTGGTGTTATTTTTACTCTGATTATTATTCTTTTAGTTTATTTACTACTTTTATTTTTTTATTCAAGAATGTCCTTTCAGCATTTTCATCTTTCAAAACCATATTCTAGCTTTAAACAGTTCCAAATCCTTTTTTATATGTTTTTTTCTTTTTTGTCTGACTTGCAGAAGACTTTTATTTATTTGTTTACCAATATACATTTTGATAATTAATTCATTCATTTAATCATTTGCTTATCATGTGTAAAATAGTCCCCAACCAGTCCCCTGTCAACAAATCATCCAATTTTATTTTTTACATAATGTTTTAATTTTTATTTATCTTTTTCATTCATTCTTAACTGCTATGCCTATCACGTTCTCATTTTTATTAGTTCTTTGAGTACCTCATACAATGCATTTTAACCACCTTCACCCCTCCTGTAGCTCCCCCTATATTCACTCCTCCTTTTTGCCTCTGAACTTTGTGTGCTCTTATTTTTCAGCGATCAATTAGTTTTTACTGCCCTAACTCCTCTTGGGTATGTGGTCTTCCATAAAAGTGTGGTCAGTCTACTAAGTAGACCAACTCCTTT